ATGGATTTAACTGGAATTCGAACTCGGTTCTCAATCCGAGCCGCTTATTTATTGTTCCACCCTTACAAAGACAAAATAATGCAAAGTCAGAAATGAATATTTTGTTAAGCGTGTTCCCTGGTTGAAATTTTTTGAAATTCACTCGGATCCATAAACATTTTAAAAATACCGGAGACAAAAAAAAAAAAAAAAGAAAAAAAAAAAGAAAAGAAAAAAAAAAAAAAAAAAAAAAAAAAAAAAAAAAAAAAAAAAAAAAAAAAAAGAAAAAAAAAAAAAAAAAAAAAAAAGAAAAGAAAAAAAAAGAAAAGAAAAAAAAAATTATAAGCAAATTCATCCGAAAAAGGCCGGAGAGACAGCAGCCGAAATCATTTGCTAATATAAAAATAAGACAAGAATTTATGTCGGAATATCTGGGATGTAGAGTTATTATTTTCAATATTTATATTCGAACTGTTGTCCTCATCTTTGTTATTGTTATCACAACGTTTCGATCGTTGTGAACGCTCCCGGCCTTCCTCAGGAGAATTTGCTGACATGGTGTTTAGAATTTCAATCTCTGAGCCAGACAGAGCGTACTTGGACACACTGGAAACGGGCGTGCTATGACTGAGCAGTTACTAAAAATTACACCTCGAGGATAAACCTAGACATGAGCAGTGGAACAAGAACAGTCTATACCCGTAGATTAAATAAATGGTTCAGTTCGAATTCTCTGTAGGATACACTGATCGGTACTTACTTGAAGGCCGGTGGATACAACGGCCGAAAGCTTTTGATAGCAACAACAAATACGAGGACAATGTGAATAAAGATGCGAACAGTAGTTCAACAGTAATCCCACACGCAATTAATCCTCTTCCACCTTTTGATCTGGGCACATACAGACGATCAACATCAGCTTTGGGATGATGCATGCGTTAGCAAGTGAGAAGCTTTATCGTTTTGGCGTCCATTCGCTTAATTTCAGCTATGGTCTAGTTGAGGACATTAAAGCTGTATTGCACCACAATACAGCTTTATTATTATTATTATTATCATCATCATCATCATTATTATTAGATTTATTTGATTGCCACGAGTATTAGAAGCACATAAAATTTTGTTTTCATAAGCGGCCTTTTATCATAGACGGTTTTTATAACTGCACGCATTCTTCTGTAGGAGAGAACTTGAAAAAGATAGAGATACTGTCGAAATATTGTTTTATACTATTCTTTTCTGGAAATGGTACATTTATGGAAGTAGTGTCATAATAATAATAATAATAGTTCGAAAAGATTTCACAAAAAGAACCAGCCAAGTAATTGATATGACTTGCCCACATGATTCCAATATTTCTAAAAAGAAAAAAAAAAGAATTTAAAATCTGAAAAACTTTAAGAAATGCAAATCGAAGAACCAAAATGAGGAAACAAAACTAAAACTGTCTTTATCTGATCGGGGCACTGAGTATGATGAAGAAAAGTACCGTATATAATCGTGGATAGGTCGCACTTTTTTTTTTTACCAAAAATTTCTCAAAATATTAACGGTGCGACCTATCCGCGCGGCATAAATGTAAAACAACATAACCTTGTCATCAGGATTTCTGGGAAATCGAAAATGAGACCAATAAACACTAAAGCTGTGTTTTTCTCCGTATAGAAACAATTTATCTATCATATATACTGACTCACTGCTTTAAACTTACTTCATGCTGCTAGATTCACATATCCATTACAATAAATAAATAAAATTATAAAATATTCATTGATTCATCCGTCACCTTTCATTCGGGGTCCTACCACGAGACTGATATAGAAACGCTGAAAATGCATACATAAGTTAAGGAAATACGTGTAGATGTTTATTGACAAAGAAAATATGGTTCCACGTCCATTCTGCAATATATATATATATATATATATATATCGTCAAAAATATGTTCCTAAAATGAAATATATTGTTTATGAGATACTTTTCTTTAATGGCTGTTTCATATAACATTAAATGACGTTCTTAAGTGTTATTTACAAATATCAAAGCGCATAAATCTAGTACGCAAAACGTTTACACTATTTTGCATTGGGTCGCAATATAGTTGGCAGCCAAATTTATAGTATATAATTTTAATTGTTGGGAGTAAAAGAAAGAGTTATGAAGCAGGTTTTAAATTAAAAGTTTTAAATTATGCAGAACATGGGAATCGATCTTCAAAAGTATATTAATAATTGTAAGTTTTGAAATAAAGGTAAAAATAGAGTTAGATCTTACTTATTATAAAACGCAGATTATGTGTGTGTGTACGTTTATATATTGGATCGGATTTCCTACATTTTTCAACTGATTTCAACAAAACTTCACAGGATTGCGTAAAATTACCTTACAGTGATTCTGACAGCGCCAAAAATTGGAAAAACACAATTGTTTTTGCACAAAATCAATTTGAAAACACGATAAAACACGATTCTGTCACCAGAATGAAAGAGGGACAACTCATATCGAGTTATACTTATTATAAAACCCGGGTTTTGTGTGTGTGTGTGTGTGTGTGTGTGTGTGTTCGTTTATATATGGGATCGGATTTCCTACATTTTTCAACCGATTTCAACAAAATTTCACTTTTTTTTTGGCAGGTAGTGTTATTATCTTGCACACTTTTTTTCTTTATTTTTAAATTCTGAATTCTTTAAAAGATTCCATTTCCAAGACAATTGTTTATAATAAAATTCTATTCAATCGATAGACTCATAACGATTGAAAACAATGTTTTTGTTTGAGTTTGACCAATTCGTAAAAAAAAAAAAAAAAAAAAAAAATTAAGACATGTTTGTCCGTCAACCTTAAACAATAATCTTTGTCAATTTTATTTTTCAGTCTTTATGATGGTCGATAATTGATCTATCTCTTACCGTTACATCCCTAGGCAACGCCGGGCTCTACTGCTAGTTCTGATAATTCTTATGTTTAAAAAGGGGTGTGTAACTCCCCAGATTATAGTGCGACGTATCTGCAAGTCAGCAGTAAATCATCAATTATTAAGCCATAAAATAGTGGGACGAATTATATGAGAATATGTACGGTACCAAAAATAATTTGAGTAAAATTCCTGGACACTTCAGCATATCAGTGTCACAAAAGATTACCCCATGCGGAACTGCATATATCCGCTAAGCCATCTCCACCTAAACGAATCTTTTCAAATGTGCATAGATGACGCTAATAAAGTGTCATTTTTACTTAGAGACCTTGATGAGGACTTTGTAGTAAAGCACTTAAAATTACTCCCTTGAAGGATGATTCCACATACAAAAATAAAAATAATGATTTTTAGTCACTTGTTTTTTTTTTAATATTCCTTGAGTGTTAATATTGAGGGATTTATTCCAGTTTCTCAAGTGTTACTACGTTCCCGTTCTATCATTAAGAATCAATAGACTTTAGCTGGTCTGGTAACTTTTCTTTTCATGTACCATGTCCTTTCAGGAAGTAGTCGATCTTGACTCTCCACCTCTCTCTATCCCTTGCAGCTCTCAACAAGTTCCTTCCTTCTTCCCCTAGAGCACGTTCTGACATCCACCTGCCCAAGTTGGCCAGGTAAGTCATAAATTTCGGCGACTAAACAAATTACCCCAATCCGAGTTCCGAGTGAGGCTGATCGTTAGCTAGCCAGTAGAACGAAAAACAAGACATCAAAGGGCGGAGGACCTCACTGAGTCAACGGCCAGCTAACTAGAGGTGGTGTCTCCATAAAGCACTGAGGAGAAGGCAACGGAAAAAAACACTCCACTATCAATCCCAAGAGAAATCATGGTTAACAAGTCAGATAATGCGTAACCTAACGGCCTGAAGGGGTTATGTCTGTGGTCTGGTAACTACAGAACTCTTAAAATCGCCTAAGACTACACAATGTGTGACTTAATGGCTCGACGGTCTCGCTTTTGGCCAACTCGCTTTAAAAAAAAAAGAAAGAAAGGATAATCTTTAGTTTTTACCTGCCACATTTTTTTTGTATTTTATTATCATTAATAACAATATTTTTTTCCGTTTTACAAGCTGTTCCCATGTTTTATCCAGAAAGCCTCAGTTAGTTATGTGATACACGCGAAGGCGATCATCTGTCTTTCGATACATGCCTGATGACGTAGACTTTTACCCGCAGGGGGTTGCCGTTTCTTTATCTGGTAGACCTTTTGCCATCCAAGACTATAGCTGGAGGTGGTGAGAAAATAGGATTCAAACCTTTCCCAAGTCTATTAGCAGGTAAGAGAATGTAATGGATTCGACTGAAATTCGAACTCGGCTATCCGATTCATTAATCCGAGCCGCTATCCATTACTCCAAGATGAGAATGCAAAACAACGTATCATGACTGTTGATACAGTGAGTTTGATATTCAACTGACATTGCAAGCACCATTTTTCTAAATTATAATGTCATCGGATTGTTTATAATATTTTGCACTTGTATATGTTGATGTAGAGATATATATTATTATTATTAAAGAGATACTGGCGGAAATAAACTTAACAAAAGAGATCTACCAATGACTGTTTTAATAGAATAGAGGTATGTAGTAAAAAGTCTAAGTCAATGTAGTAAAAGAAACAAAAGACAATGAATGTTTTCTTTATTCAGCAACAGTCTTTTCTAGTTCGAGGAAAATAGGTCATTGCTCTGGTCGAATTTATTATTATTATTAATTTAAAGCAGGTAATAACATTAAGTGAAAGTTCAGACCAATTCCCATCAAAATGTGATAGGTGGAAATTTAATATATATATATATATATATATATTAAAGAAAGATACCACTAATTCTTTGAGGTTTTGTGTCTGATTCCATTTTTATTGTTAATTTCTGACATTTTTCTCAAAGTTTAGATAGAAATTACTCAATTCTCCACAGACTAAAGAGGAATTCCCGGAATTTTGTTCAACTAAATAAGATATTTTCGTGCCAAAAGACATTTGTCGGTTGAAGGAAAGGAAATAAATTGGATGCAAAGATAAATCATAAACTTAATGAAAGTAAGAGAGAAATGGAAAGAGACGGGTGAAAACAGAGAGGAGAGAGAAAGGGGGAGAGAGGAGAGAAGAGAGGAGAGGAGAGAGAGGGGGAGAGAGGAGAGAAGAGAGAGAGAGAGAGAGGGGAGAGAGAGAGAGAGAGAAAGAGAGAGAGAAAGAGAGAGGAGAGAGAGAGAGAGAGAGAGAGAGAGAGAGAGAGAGAGAGAGGAGAGAGAGAGAGAGAGAGAGAGAGGAGAGAGGAGAGAGGGGAGAGAGAGAGAGAGAGAGGGGGCGGAGAGAGAGGGGGAGGAGAGAGAAAGGGGAAAGGGACGGAGAAAGATTTTTAGGGGCGAGAGAGAGAGAGAGGGAGAGAAGAGAGAGGGGGAGTTTGAAGAGAGAGAGGGGGAACATCCAAGTCCACAGGGGAACGTGAGAGAGAGGGGAGTCCCAGAGAGAGAGGGGAAAGTGTGAAGAGAGAGGGGAAAGTTTGAAGAGATATAAGAGAAGAAAAGGAGAAAAGGAGATAAAGAATTAAAGAGAGAGAGAAAGTAAAAAGGAGACGCATAAAAACAACTGATTAAGAACGATGTTAAAGAGTGAATTATTAACTGAAAGATGTAAGAGAAAATTGACACCGGAAAGATACTTAAGTAAACGGATTTAATAAAGTAAGGAGACAAAACACAACCAAAAAAAAAAAAAGAAAAAGAAAAAAAAAGGAAATGCATTCAGAAAATGTCATAAAAGGTATATAAATAATAATCATAGCTCGGAACAGATTAAAGAGAAATATTTTAGAAAGAATGGAACGATTGAAATAAATATGAAAGCGACAAATCAATCCACAAAAACTAGAAAAATCTCAAAGAAAAAAAATCAGTAAAGAAGGTACAAGTGGGAATAGAGAAAGAAAAATATTACACCATCACAATATTATTATGAGAGTAAGAGGAATAAAAAAGAAAGAGTAAATGAAAGAAAATTTAATCATATTCATAGCTATAAAAAAAGGCAAAGAAAAGATAGACCAAAAATTAATAAGAGAAAAATGGATTATATAGCGAAAAATCGCGTGAAATGAATCTTGAATTCCGTTCAAATCTAATTCAAACGTCAATAAAACAAAAGATTCACAGAACTGAAGCCGAAATCGGGGTTTCTCACTATAAAATTAGTGCGTGGAGGGAATTGTTAATATAGGGCAAGACGTGTCACATGGTACAGATGCAACTCTCTCGATGCGTGTGCCACTTCCTGTCGTAATCTAGAATTAAAGACTTCGAATATTTGATGATCGTATTCACAGTGCAACGTAGACGAACAGAAATGGTGAAAAGCGATAAGAATTTGAACAATGGTGTAATAACGAAAGAATGGAATACAGAATAGAGCGAAAGAAATGGAAGAAAGGAAGAGAGAGCAAGACAGAGTATAATTACTGAAGATGAAAAAGAAAATGAAACATCAGTGTAAAACAAATGATAGATACAGATTGAAATGAAAATGAAGCGACAAAAATTTCGTAATATAAGAAATTAAAAAAGTTGTATATGAAAAGAAGAACTAAGTGAAACTGCAGTAAAAGAATAAGAAACTGAAGATAGCATAGAAAATAGGAGGAAGAATAGTGTATAGTCGAGGAAAAGAGAACAATCAGTTAAATGAAAAGGGATCAAATGATGGACGTCATATAAGATGAGCAGGAAAAATAAGTGAATACTGAAATGATATAAGAGCTGAAGTAATAGGTAAGAGAAATTGTAGGAGAGTGATATGTAACCATACAGTTACCAACAAAATCGCGATTATCTCCCTTGACTAAATAACTCTCCTATTTTAAATCATTACAAATAGTACGTATTTTTTAACTGAACTATTACAAGTTGAATAAAGTTTCCTTAGAGGCGCCGCTCTTTCGTGCCATATTACGAGTCATATCAGCAGTAGTAATAGTAGTATTAGTAGATTAGTAAAAAGGTTAATAATAATAATATTAATAACAGTAAGGAGAAAAAAAGAGGCAAGAGAATGAGGAGAAAAAAAGAGGCAAGAGAATGAGGAGAAAAAGAAAGAGAAAAAAAGGCAAAAAAAAGGAAAAAAAGAGGCAAGAGAATGAGGAGACAGGCAAAGAATGAGGAGAAAAAAGAGGCAAGAGAATGAGGGAGAAAACCATTGCAAGAGAATGGGAGAAAAAAAAGAGAGGCAAGAGAATGAGGAGAAAAAAAGAGGCAAGAGAATGAGGAGAAAAAAAGAGGCAAGAGAATGAGGAGAAAAAAAGAGGCAAGAGAATGAGGAGAAAAAAAGAGGCAAGAGAATGAGGAGAAAAAAAGAGGCAAGAGAATGAGGAGAAAATTGAGAGGCAAAGACGAGAAGAGGCAAAGAGAATGAGGAAAAAAAGAGGCAAGAGAATGAGGAAAAAAAAGGCAAGAGAATGAGGAGAAAAAAGAGGAAAGAGAAAGGAAAAAAAAAGAGAATGAGAAAGAAAAAAGAGGCAAGAGAATGAGGAGAAAACAAAAGGCAAGAGAATGAGGAGAAATAGGCAAGAGAAGGAGGAGAAAAACGACATAAAGAGAAGGAGGAGAAAACGAAGAAGGAGGAGAAAAATGACGAGGCAAAAAGGAGGAGAAAACGACGAGGCAAGAGAAGGAGGAGAAAACGACGAGGCAAGAGAAGGAGGAGAAGACGACGAGGCAAGAGAAGGAGGAGAAGACGACGAGGCAAGAGAAGTTTATGAAAACGACGAAAAACAACAAATAATAACGAGGAAGAGAATATATTTGAGAAAGAGAAAACGAGGCAAGAGAAGGAACGACGACGAGGCAAGAGAAAAAGACACTCAGGCCAGGGAATGGAAATCTGTCAAAAGGAGGAGAATCTATATGACAAGTATTCAGAATTAAAGTGCGGTTTAAAAAACTACTGAAAAAAAAATAATATATGAATATGTATAGGAGAAAAAGACACTCAGTAATGGAAAATGGTATGTAAATTCGTTTAACAGTAAGAAAAAATGGTTTAGTGTATAATTAAAAAAAGAAACAGTAAAGGATAAGAAAGAACAAATTTCAAAGAAAATTATTAAATGAAAAATAGTGCCAGAAATATTCAAAGAAAATCGCTAACCAGGAAAACATTTTATTCCACCATAAAATTAGAACTCGCCGCCATATTTCTTTAATTTCATAGATTAACAATTATCTCCCTTGTTTGTTTTGTTTTTCTTTTTTCGCACTTGACGTTTTGTGCAATGATAAGGTCGCTACAACAACAACAAAAAAATTATTTAATCTCAGGATGTTCTGTAATTGAGCCAAATAAATATAAAATTCGTCCCGTTAGAGTGGGGCAATACTTACACAGGACAATGTACAAACATTTTAAATGAGAAGGTGACTCGGGGTGGAATAACGTCATAACATTAAGGATGTTGTGAACGCTATCAATGCAGGAAATTGCGTATTGGGCAGTTCCAATCCGAACATAGCAGTGATATTCTATTTTGGTCTAATGAATCTCTTGTAATGAAAGATACATTTAATAAGAATTAAAACGAAAAAATTGTGGCAGGATACAGAACAAGTTTCGGGAAAACTGTATATCTAGGTTAAAGTTTTTTTTTTTTTTTTTGTCTATGCGTTCTGTAGGATACAAACATTTATGTGGTCAAGTGATTAGTACCTTCGCTTTTTTTTATAAATGTGACAGTGATTTTATCGGTCTACGGGAAACGATCCCAGCGTGCATGGAAGCCATACTATGGGTTGACCCAAGCCTTGCGAGTGAAATTGTGTAGCGGGAACTCTTTTAGTAGTCGTCAGTGGCTGTCACAAGTCATGAAAGTCAAGTCGTGAGCTACTGCAGGCCTTGTTCAGACATTTGATCACGATAGATAACACGCTTTCTCCTATATATATATATATATATATATATATATATATCATGGACTCTCCCGTCGGTTTCGACGTATGAGAATATGGCAGCTTATTGATTGAGTTATGAAATTTTGTGCGATAATCTTAAGTGGCATTTAAGACCCACTAGTGGAGGCCACATAAGGAGCAATTTTTTTTGTTTCTTTTTTAAGCGTTTCACTCCAAGCAAGGCGGGAAGCCACTAGGACGCAAGGGGATACAGAAGATTTGGAGCAAGATCAGATAGGAGTGATAGAAGAAAGGATGAGGAGAAGGATAGTGGATAGATCAAGGCAACTGGAGATGTCGATTGACATTACATTTGAATAGCTGGAGATTATATCTCTCAGGGAAACTGGAATAGGGAAGGGAGTTCCACAGGCGGGAGGTGCGAGACATGAAGCTATTGGAGTAGAAGAGACGGCTATATTTAGGAGTTTCGACAGTGAAGGGGTGAGAGCGGGATGCCAGCCTCGTCGGGCGCTTGAACTCATGAAGTCTGGGAACCAGCGAATGCATCTCCTCGGAGCAATTGCCATGAAAGTATTTGTAAAACAGACAGAGAGAGGCGAGGGCGCGTCTGTGAGAAAGTGACTGTAGACGAGATGCCAGAGCAGGGCCAATTATATTGCATATCCGCCTCTGGAGCCTATCAAGAACCCCGAGGCAAACAGAAGGGGCTCCAGACCATATATGGCAGCAATACTCCATGCAAGTGTGAGTATTATATATATATATATATATATATATATATATATATATATATATATATTCTAATTTTTTATTCTTATTGGATTTACATATTTGGCCCGGCGTACATTTTTTTCCAGTTTCCTCAAGTGCACTGGCCGATAGACGTAATGCATACTGTTTAAAATAAAAATTAAATGTAATATCCAGTGATGTTAAGTATAGAACTCGACATTCGAGTTTCGATTCCATCAAGCTAACACTGTTGTTGTTTTTTTAGTTAATATCCAAGCAGAGGAACCAAACGTTAACACCGCCTTTACAGTGGATCGAAATAATCTCCGTTTGAGTTTGTCTGGTAGATCAGAAATCCGTATTACATCCATCTTATTCAAGGCGACCAAGGCTTTAGCT